AATAACCATTGAAAATATTAATAACGTAAGTAAATATGTTAATAACGTAGGTGAAAATATGGATAGCGTAGTTTGTTGACATTATCACTTGTACAAAGCTTTAACCTCGTGGTCTATTAATAATTCGAGAAGGTATAATTAATAATAACGTCATTGTTTGTTAATAATTGACAAAGAAATATATTTGCATGTGGATAAGTGTATATGTGAAATGCTAATAACGCAAGTTAACATGATAACGAGGTAGCTGAAAATGTTGATAACGTAAGCAGTGGCGGAGGCAGCTCAAGAGTGGGTGGGTCCCGGGATCCACCTTGACCTTGGACAAGGAACAATGACAATATGCATATATCTGCTGCACTTGAGAATAATGTAACATTGCTCACCTTCTCAATTGACACAAATTTCCTCCACCGCACTACACTACGCCCCATCCATTTGTTTTATGTAAAGTTTTGTTTACCATGTGCACGTGTTACGAGCTCCCATTGAAATTTATGAAATATCAAATTGAATTCATTAACTACGTATATTAAATGTCATGTACATTTTTTATACATGTTTAGTATATGAGTTATCAAATGAACAAGAAAAAATGAAATGGTCTGTCAATACGCAATAATACGTATACATAAGTTTTAAACACACAAAATATGTATATTCATATATACGTGTCATAACTGGGCAGCCCATTAGTACGATATTGTTCTCTTTGGGCCAAGCCCGCACAGTTTTACTCTTGGGTGTCCTCCCCAAAAGGCCTCGTACTAATTGGGCTAGGTGGACACTAATATACAAAGGTTCCTTCCCTTGTATTTCCGATGTGGTACTTGGATTGTCCCATAACAATCCTTCCCTCAAGACAAGGACCACGAACTTCATGTCCTCACCTCAGCGATTATCTTGATCCGCCAGACGCTTTGTATCAATGGGCTTCTCGGTACAAGAACTTTCCCAAATGCAGAACTCTCTTTGATCGGCTTTCCAAACGCGGACCTCCCTTGATCCGCATAGCCCAAACGTGGATCTCTCCTGGATCCACCAAACAGATGCGAATCGTCTTTGACCCGCCAGACAAACGCAGATCTCAAATCTCGAGGCCAGTGAATGAGGGTCCACTGTGACGTCCACCGCCCCGAACCAAACCAGACTCTGATACCACTTGTCATAACTGGGCAGCCTATTAGTACGATATTGTCCGCTTTGGGCCAAGCCGCACAGTTTTACTCTTGGGTGTCCTCCCCAAAAGGCCTCGTACTAATTGGGCTAGGTGGACACTAATATACAAGGGTTCCTTCCCTCGTATTTCCGATGTGGTACTTGGATTGTCCCATAACAATACGCATAATGTAGTAATGGACACGGTCATACAGGACGAGAAAACCCTTCATAATGCACATTTTCCCTTTTAATTAAATTCTTTGATGTTGGGTTTAATTTGTGTTTATTTCTTTTATCAATGGATGTGTCATGTGTGGATTTGAACAAGACAAACCCAAATGTTCGTGAGCATGAAGCTAATGGATCAAGGGAGGCTAGACCACATTTTAGTTCAACACCACCACCAACATTGTCACAACAACTTTTGGTATATCACATTAAGCCTTGGTTTTCATCTAAAGAAAGTGCACTGGAAAATACGTCATTGATCATTGTCAAACATTTAAAAGAACTTTTTTCTTTTGCGTTGGACCTACCTTACCTAAATTCCTGGCTACGCCACTGAACGTAAGTAAATATGTTAATAATGTAGGTTAAAATATAGATAACGTAGTTTGTTGACATAATCACCGATGCAAAGCTTCAACCTCATGGTGTCTTAATAATTTGAAATGGTATAATTATTAATAAGGTCACTGTTTGTTAATAATTGACAAAGAAATACATTTGCGTGTGGATAAGTGTACAAGTGAAAATGTTAATAACATAGATTAAAATGATAATGACGTAGATGAAAAGGTTAATAATTAATAATAACGAAATTATTTGTCATCAACGATAGGTGTAGGTGCCCTTCTTCTCCATCCTCTTACTAAGCAATGCAGGCTTACACGTTGTATTATTTGTACGCGGCATATTGTGGATCACTGCCAAAAATTACAAATTGCATATAAATATATTAATAACCCGTGTTTGAACAACTAAAAATGTTAATAACATAAAACGAAACATTAATAATGCAATTTCTCAAACTCACAAACAAAACCTAAAATTGTTGAAAATGTATCACTTTTTTGTATGGTTGTATATTGGAGAAAAAAATCATGAATAACATACATGTTATTTGATAATGCGGGATGAGAAATGTACAAATATAGAACAAATCGCTACAAATATAAAAAATTTAACCATCGCCCTTGGAAATTTTAAAAACCACTGCGACAGAATTTTCGAATGAACTTTATCTGTAAACCAATTTCACATACCGACAAAAAGATTGACAATGGCGACAAGCACATTATTGATAGTGTCGTGTTAAATATTACTAACTGAAAAAACCCGTTAATAACGAGCATGTTAATTATTAATAATATAGCAGTTAAATGTTAATACTCGCGGAAGAAACGTTAATAACGGCGTCCTAAAACTGTTGAAACGATAATTTAACATATCGGGTAAACAGATTGACCATCACCATTCAAAAGATTACAAATCATTCAACCTTAAATTGATTTTAAACTGTATAAGTAAAAAACCCTAAGCACCCATTAAACAAAACTTACCAATAGCATATACATCAACGCAAAACCCTACACCCATGCAATGCCAAAACCTACACCCATGCGGGGCCTGGAAAACCCTTACATATGAAATAAAATATGGACAAAAAAATCACCTTGACGCCGCCGCCGAGAGATCAAGGATCGACGACCGAATGGACGGGAACAAGAACAACACTAGTGACGCCCGGACGGGAAGGCCTTCAACGCTAGTGATGCTGGACATGGAGGACTTCACCGCTAGTGTCGCCGGACGGGGAGTAAAACTACCTTCTCAAACTTACACCGGAGTATGTGAGTGCTCGACTAGTCCGACGGCGGAAACGGAAGCTGGGGTTCGGCTTTGGTGGAAACGGAAGCTAGTTTAGCTTTAGGGAGAATCGGAAAACCAAGCCGACGGCGGAGACTATTGCTGGGAGCAGAAGGGACGTCGGAGAACGCAACCGAAGGGACTGCCGGAGAACACAGATTGATGAAAACGTTGACAGAGACGGTTCGGCTTGGAGGAAGAAAAAAGACAGGACATGGGTTTAGGGTTAGCTATTTGTGTTTTTAAATTACTTATAATTCCCTAAATACCCTTAACAACCAATTAACTATTAACTCCTCCCTAACTACTAAAATTTGCAGCATCCAATCACAATGCTTTAAGATTCTCCTTAAAGAAGTGGGTTTAAGGGGTCCAAGAGTGGTTACTGACCCATCAGTAATCACACGGGAGCCGTCGATTTGGGAATGGAGCAATCGTGTGGCTGGGCTGGATGTGGGGGGAGGGGCATTTTTGTCCGTTTCGTATTTTTAATTTTTTTATTCATTCCGCATTTCAATGGCTAACTTTTCAATGAAAGAGAGAGAATGACATTTTCTGTGCAACTCAACTTTCTTCCTTCTCTCTTTCTTTCTTTCAATCTCTTTCCAGATCCTTTCTCTTTCTCTATTCCTTCTCTCTTACTTTTTCTTTCACAATCTCCTTTTCAAATTTAGATCTGCTCTTTTCCTTCTTCATTTTTTTTCTCTAGCAATCGATGAACAAAAATTGTAGCCACTCTCTTTCATTGCATTTCTTCTCTTCATCAACTCGTTGGCCTCAATTCCGATCTTTCTCATTTTTTTGGCATTTTGGTGTTCTTGATTGAGGAAGAGGAAATGAGAGGCATCAGAAGACGATTTTTTCTCTCCCTCCTTCTGTTTTTTTCCTTTTAGATAATATATATTGATATTATGACTCTATACCATATGGTATTGGGTGGTAACGAAATATATATTGATATTACCACATTATACCCTATGGTAATGTATGGTATTGCATGGTAACGAAATACATATTGATATTACCACTCTATACCATATGGTATTGTGTGGTAACGAAATATATATTGATATTACCACACTATACCATACGGTATTGGGTGGTAATGAAATATATATTGATATTACCACACTATACCATATGGTATTGGGTGGTAACGAAATATATATTGATATTACCACACTATACCATATGGTATTGGGTGGTAACGAAATATATATTGATATTACCACACTATACCCTATGGTAATGTATGGTATTGAGTGGTAACGAAATATATATTGATATTACCACTATATACCATATGGTATTGTGTGATATTACAACACTGTACCATATGGTATTGGGTGGTAACGAAATATATATTGATATTACCACACTATACCATATGGTATTGGGTGGTAACGAAATATATATTGATATTACCACACTATACCATATGGTAATGGGTGGTAACGAAATATATATTGATATTATCATACCATGTGGTATGGTCTTATTTAATATCAGTCAATACCATATGGTATAGACTGGTAATAACTGGAAATTTTTTTATGTCCAAAAAATATCAAAGTGAATATCATTTTGAAGGGCACAATTAATCTGATCTAACTGTGCAAAAAAATTAAATTCCGACTTAAAACGAGTGAGAAATTGTCCGTTAAAGATTAAGAGAAGAAAAATTAAAGCTTTTTCGAGGAGAGAGAAGGAGGTGCTGATGTGGTCTGGTCAAAAGTCAGCGTCAGTATTAAAATAGGTGTAAGTGCAATTTTACCTTACTGCCCTTCCGCATTTAATTTAAATAAAAAAAAGGACTGACACGTGGAGATCAGAGAAGGAGTTACTGATGGGTTACTAACCCATCAGTTACTGACACGATCATCAGTTACTGACACGATCCGCTCCCTGTTTAAGCAACTGAACTTATGCCGGGCCGGACTTCCCCAAATTTGCAGAGCCCATTGGAGTCAGTCTTAGTCCGCCTCAGCGCTGCTCCCGCGCAGTGTGCGCTTTCTCCCCAAAGACTGTTTTGGAGGCGCCGAGAAGGGCCGCCATGGCTGTGTTACCAGTTTTCTATGAATGTCGCCGTTCAGTTGTAGCGAAATTGCTCTTTCTGTGGCATTCCTGCAGCATTCGTCAATTCGAGCAGATTCACTGTTCCGTCATCACTTCCGGCCAATCGCACCACAATGCTTTCCTCCTAACCGAGCTCTGTTCGTCTCTGTTTATCCGCCGCCACCCCGACCATCATCGTATCCGGAACTACCAATCCATCGTCCTCCACTTCTCCGTCCACCCACCTACCATTAAACTATGGAACCTTTTCATCAGAGACTTCTCCAAGAGTTCCCAACCTTCCGCAGCTCTTCTTCTTTACTCCAGAATGCGCCGCAACTGTCTCCACCCAGACATGCACACCTTCCCTTTGCTCCTCAAGTCGTTTTCCAAGCTCAGAGACCAGGACCCCTTGCTGTTTTTCGCCGACATTATCAAGCATGGTCTTGATCTCGACAGTTTCGTCAGGAACTCTTTGATTTCTGCTCTCGCAAACTCTGGGTCCCCGAGGCTTGCCCGGCAGGTGTTCGATGAGAATCCTCAGAGGGACGTCATTGCTTGGACTTCGATGATTGATGGGTATGTGAGAAACGGAAGTCCTGGGGAAGGACTCGAGTGTTTCCTGCTGATGAGATCAATGGGAGTAAAAGCCGATGAAGTAACAGTGGTAAGTGCTCTTTCTGCAGCTGGATCACTGTGTTATGCTTGGATTGGGAAATGGCTTCATGGTTTCTATGTAGAATCAGGCAGAGTCAGATGGGATGTCTTCGTTGGGAGTGCTCTCGTAGATATGTACATGAAATGTGGGCATAGTGACGATGCCCGTCAAGTATTTGATGAAATGCCAACGCGAAATGTGGTCTCGTGGAGCTGCTTAGTTGCTGGTTATGTTCAACTCGGTAGATGCAAGGAAGCGTTACTGATCTTTCAAGACATGCTAACAGATAACCTTAGACCCAACTCAAAAACTCTAACTAGTGTGCTCACTGCTTGTGCTCAACTAGGCGCTTTGGACCAAGGAAAATGGGTGCATGCTTATATCGATAGAAACTTGATAGAATTGAACTCGATCCTAGGGACGGCCTTGATCGACATGTATGTGAAGTGCGGCTGCATCAATGAGGCTTGTTTTGTTTTTGATAAGTTGCCGAGCAAAGGTCTCTATACTTGGACTGCCATGATCAATGGTTTGGCAATGAATGGGGATGCACTAGGGTCGTTGAGTTTCTTCTCCCGGATGATGTGCAGTGGGGTTCAGCCAAACAAAGTCACTTTCCTTGGTGCCCTTAGTGCCTGTTCTCACGGGGGACTCGTAGAAGAAGGACGTAAATTGTTCGACGAAATGAGGGATAAATACCATCTGGATCCTGACGTGGATCACTATGGCTGCATGGTTGACTTGCTAGGCCGGGCTGGGTACTTGGAAGAGGCAGTGAAGTTGATCGAGGAGATGCCAATGGAGCCATCTCCAAGTATTTGGGGAGCTCTCCTCGGGGCGTGTGTGATTCACAAGAACTTGGAGCTAGGGGAATACATTGGTAACCAGCTGGTGAATCTTCAACCAGACCATAGCGGATGGTACTCTCTCCTGGCAAATGTACACTTGGAACACCGGAAGTGGGATAAAGCCGCCAGCGTCCGGAAGTCTATGAAAATGAAAGGGATTGATAAAATCCCTGGAGTTAGCTGGATAGAAGTGAATGGCTTGATTCGTGATTTTGTCACCTCCGAATCTCTTTCAGATTGGGAATTGTGTGAGATGATGGATAGTGTTTGGAGGCACATTGTATCCTCCATATATGATCACAAAGTTGATAATTTTAATATCAGTGGATGTGGCGAAGGTCTAAAGGGAGTTGTCCTTTAGGGATAACAAACGTACTGGTGAGTAGGAAAACAGGCACATAATTTGTCAAATTATGCTTTTATCTCAAGAGTGTTGTACAGGGTGCACATCACCATGCTACCTTTGGATCTGCCTCTTTTGCCAGTCCACAGACTACAATAACCTTCATTGCTTCATATACAAATAACTTGCAAGAAGCTGTACTCATATAGCACTTGTGGCATCGAAAATTGGGTATTGGTGGCCGAAGCTACGTTGACTGGCAATGGCTGATACATACAAGGGATTCATGGACCGCCTATCAGCTCTTATCTAGGATGGGCTGTGAAGCACATCTCTCCAGGGTTGCCTCGTAGCTTGAAGTTTTGCGGAGAGAGCGATATTGCAGTCTGACATTTTCTCCGCTGTCAATGATCTTAAGCAAGTACCTGTAGTGCAGAAAGCAAATAGACAAACATGATATATCAGAGACAATGCTCTAACTGGCAATGAGTTGTTTTTATACAGAAACGAACCAGCCATTGAGACACTGTGACGTGATGATTGCTTCCTTGCCTACAAACTTCTCTGGTGTTCTGCGGTTTCCCTGTACAGTAAAGTGTCCTTGAGATTTCCACAACAATGCAACAAACTATAACTGTCAAGAGAAGGTGGCAAAGGGGAAAACATAAGAACATACCTTAATCACTACTTTTTCATTTACTGCAAAAGGGTACTGCACCCTCCGATGCAAACAACCGTATTCGGCAGCAACATCTCCATTTTCCTGGAGAGGACACCAAGAGTAAGTAGTTGTGTCACAAAAGAAATAGAATGTGGACTTCATGTTGAGAAAGAAAGGATGACCAAACATCCAGACTAAGAATTTATCAACTTTTTTCCATGGTAACCAGTAAAGTGTAACAACAAAATTAGCATTGGATTTATTGGCTATCTGCTCCCAGAAATTATCATGTTGCCATGGCAAGAAAAGAGTCACGTTCAGCAGAATGTTCAAAATGCTTTTTCAACCGAGGGAGCCCCTGCTCCTGATCACCACTTCCAGTACCTCCAAATACATATAGCTTAGGAGATGGCAATCCTTGACAACAACAACAAGGAGCAAATAGAATCTTGACTTTTACCAAACATTACAAATGTGCATTTTGCTATTGGTAGGTAGAATCATTTTTTAGTCAGAACTCTTCAGTGACCTTGATTAAATATTAAGAAACATTTCTTTTGGGTTCCTTCAAAACTTGGCAACTAGTACAAGGTAAAGCAACCACCGAGGGGGCACTCATCAGACTTCTTTTTTCACTTTTTTTATGCATCTCATCAGAGCTTTCGCATGTGTTAACACAAGGACTCCCTGATGGAGCACAGTGTCGAAGTCAAAGTTTACGACAAATGGCTATTTAGCATAATACCATGTTTTGTCTTCTAATAGGATCTGTTTGGTCACCCATGTCCTTGCGACGCTTTCTGAGAGCTGCATTGTGGAATAGCCTCCGGTCATCCTCAAGCTTGACAGCTGAAGCTGCAGCTCTAAGAGCTACACAGTTCATAATAAATGCTATGAGAACGGCACATAATTAGAAGACAATATGTGTTATGCAAAATTGACAGATACTAATGGAAGTGGTAATATGAATCAGTTAACAGATAAACCAGGTGGTGCAGAAATTACCCAGATTAGGAATCAAAGACCCAGCCTCAATTTGTACATTGCACAGTATACATCTTGACTGTAAGGAAGAGTAATTTGAGTTATAATGTTTCTCTTTACATCTAAGTCACAACAACAAAAGTGTGCCATGCTTCTTTATGCTTGTAACATGATCCTTTTGATCAGTGGTTGATTCAGTGATAACGCCACTGCGATTAATTTCTTTTACTGTCATGTAAGAGAAGTCATGGAAACCTTACCAATTCGAGGACTCTACTAAGCATAAGACCGCCAAACGAATGTCCACAAGAGGCATACATCGCATCTTCAAGGAAGGCACCACTGAAATATCAAAATGCATTAGTACTGCAGAAAATTCCTGATACATAGGGCGGAGCTAATAATGAAAGAAGAATCAAATAAATATTCAACTCAAAGGTCCTTTCTGTGAACACTGAATAGAAAATGTGAACAAACTCCACCAGCCAACAATCGTTTATCATAGCATATAAAGTCCGGTTGATTTGGTAATACAGTGTACCACATGCCACTAGTTTGTGTAGATACGTTTCTCATCATTGTAAGCTAAACAGTCAATGTTGCTCTAAAGTTGCAGTCCAGGGAAATTTTGCACCAGAGATTGTCAGTCAAGTTTCGCAATCTTCAATCAAGATGAATGAGAGCAGATGCTAAAAGGGAACTTACGATAGCGGATCTGAGAGAACACTTCTTAATGATGGGTCCTTGTTAAAACTATTTAGAACTTCCTGTAAGTGCAAAAATCAACGTCTCAGTAATCACATGAATTATTCAAAGTAGATTTCCTTATTCAATAATTGAAAGCGGGTCCTGAAGTTAAGAACAAAAAACGAAAGCCAATATCCTCAAGAACAAGCATAATGGAAGTTAAGTAATTCTAGCCAAAAAATAGTTCAGTAATAGCTCCATATTCCTACATATGGTTTCATGAAGGTTTGTCTACTTTCACTCGTATGTTCTAACAGTATCATGTGGATTCATTTACATGTTAAGCTTACATTTGCATTCTCAGGTCGATCACAGATAACAACCTCCTCAGCAGAAAGGTCATCCATAAATTGGCTAACAGATATAGGCACATAGCTCTGAGGAATGACATGGCCTGCTGCTGCGATAGGAGAACAATCTAATATCGCATTGCCTTGAGGCATAAGCCTAAATAACAATGCTGTCCTGCTGACACCAAACTAAATCAGTCTCAAGCTGAAACTTTTGCAATGCATGTGTATAATTTCTTATGGTGTGATTCACATTTAAGTTCCTAGTACTTTTACCTTCCACTGCCGTTCATGCCAGAGGAGTGATCGGAAGTAGTTCTATATGAAGCAGCAGGGCGAAGGCCAGCTGTGGCATGGCTAAGTGCCTTGCCAGTAATCAGCAAAAGATCACCTGGAGCAAAACCACGATCAGCTAGGTACCAGCGGCCATTAGGGTCACAAACCTAAGAGGCAAAACAAAATTTAAGGCAACAAAACAAGTTGAAGTTAACGGTTTTAAAAATAAAGACCACGTCATTATAGTAAAGTCCAAGGGATTGCAGAAGAATATAGAAGCATTATATTGTACAAGCATCTAATGACTCAACATGAAAGACCTTTATTCATCAATCATATAATTGGTAAGAAGATATAAAGTCACCTGAAGGCCTGGACTGTCAGAAGAAATCAATGTCAACAAGCCCTTTTCAACTTCATTGTTGATTGATGCTTTTGCTCCCCCACTAGCCACTTTGCCATCTAGCAAGGATGCGTGAGAATAAGAGGCAACCAACACAGATGAGGAAACCTCATTCACGGGCAAAGGGGTGTCGTCCAGTAAATGGTTGAAGGCACTGCATGCAAGAGGTTGACCCTTCAGGAAGCTGCACATGAGCTGAAAAGAGAAGCCACAAGCAAAAGATTTTTGAAAGAGAACTGTAATTAATGCATGCTTACTCGCTTCTCAACCGAAGATGCCTTGCTATAACACATAAAGCAGCCCTAGCTACCCTTCCCATACACCTAAATATTTCTGCCATGCAAGGTGGAGCTGAATCCCAATCATCATGAGACCTGCAACAAGACAACTTAATGAACTTGATAATTGGAAGAATGCTAATATGTAGGCACACCAACAGCTGCCTAAAAGTTTCCCCCTATTTTTTGAAATTCCATTTTGCTGCTAAAATGCTGTTTTTATGCCAACAATTAAAGCACATGAATACACCCTTCTTTTTCATGTATTGTATTCCCATTTAAAAAGATCTCGAATGGGCACTATCAACCACCATAACAATCGAAACAGTTGGGCAGAGAAGCTAGAACCACCAAAGCTGTCAACTTTATAATTCATGGAACCCAAAGCTCAGAGAAATGGCTGAAGCCTGATGCGCTTCATGTTTAAAATATTCTACCCTGTTGTAGCCTAAATAGTGTTGCAAGCAACTCTTACAGACGCTAGATTGTCCTTCAACAAGTAGAAAGGAGTACCAAAAGCTTTCTGAGTGGCAAGGGATGCCCCAAAGGCCACATGACACCATAACTTACAGGGCACTGAGCCACAAATAGTGACCTTAAACAGATGGACCAAGGACAAAACGCAAAAAAGTCAAGTTTTTGTTCAGGGAATAATTGCATCATGAACCCTTTCCTAGTTTGCCAGTAATACACAGGTATTTCCTCAAAAAGAAAAAGAAAAATGTTTGTCAGTCATACCCTTCATATGAAAAGTGGAAGTCATCTAAAGAAAGCCTCTCCACATTCATCACTCTCATACACTCCTCCTTTTCAAATAACAAATTCTTGCAGGAAAAAAGGAAGAAACACACTCATCCAAGATTCTCACTAAACCAAAGTCATTGTATGGAGTTAAAACCAGTAATCAATCGCCTAGCATAACCAACCAAGTGACGAAAATCAAACTAATCATCAAGACAGTTGACCAAGTTACGCATCTATTCTCATGTCAAAAGCACAAAATCTGACAGTCCGGTATACAATCGAAGAAAGCTAAACTCAGCAAGTAGAGAGCCTCAACTCATCCATTGACATTTACAAGGCCTAAAAGAAAATGGAAACTTACTTGGCTCTGTACATGTGAACTCCACGACCGCTGCTTCCTTTGACATGGCACCTAAAATACAAGCGGGATGCTTCCAGCCCGCATTTCATCAGGGCAGCGTTCTCACTCCCCAACTCGATAACAGCAGCGTTATGCCTCATCAAAGAACCCGACAACGCCTCCACAGCCTTCACGTATGGCCCACAAGGAGCCCCATCATAGGGCGCTATATCCGACAGCCTGACCCTAGCCAACATCAGAGCCGTCTCGCATGACTGGTGCGCCGCCGTCGCGGGCGGCGAGATTGCATGATCGAGGGAGGACTGTGGAGGCTGTTGGCCAATGCGAGAGGCAGATAGAGGGGCGACGGTGAGAGAAGATTGGGAAGGGGTTGGCGTGGAGGATCTAATAGCGGAAGAGGAATTCGGCTGCTGCTGCTGCTGCTGCTGCTGCATGATCATCGCGGTGGTAATTTATCATGCTGCTGCACTTCTCGAGCGATTCAGAGTGGAGAAGGAGAGCAGAGTATTAGGGTTTTCTGGACGGAAATTCCATTCCCTGGGGAACGATAATGTGGAGTTGTTGGCAGTTGGCTTGCTGTTTTGGTGCCGTGTTCCAATTTGAGAGGGCAAAAAGCTTCTTTCAGCTGGAGATTACTTCCGGGGTGAGGGAACTACAAAACCCCTTTTCAGTAATTGATGCCGGCGAATATTGAGGAAATATTCCTCGGTGAGGATGAGGATTCAAGGAGTTTCGCAACGGCGACGGAGGTGATGGGAGATGGTGCTGATGACTGATGACTGGCTAGCAGCAGCAACCGAGTGAGGGTAGGCAAAGGTTTTTTTTATATAAAAATATGTTTTTTTGTCCTTCGTACAAAATAAGGGTTAATTGCATGGTTGGTCACTGAGATTACAAAAAACGTTCATGTTTGGTCACTGAAAATATTTAAATCCAATCTTGGTCACTCAAATTAGTTAAATGGTTCAAGTTTGGTCACTCTCCGTCCAACTCCGTTAAATATGTCTGATGTGGCAGTCAACCCTCAAAGTTGACCGTTAACTCGGTGACGTGGCAATTAAAAAATAATAAATAAAATAAATTTTAATATTCTACCATTTCCAACTCATTTTCACAATAAAGGAAAATAAAAAAAATTATTATAATCACAATTGTTGCGTCTCCTCCAAAATCTTCCTTTGTCCGCATTTACTCTTTAGTTCTTCCGCGCAATGACCTCAGCTCTATCAGCCAATCAAATCAACTTCTCAAAATCAATCCTTCATTTTCTCCATCCATTTATTGCGGGTTACTGATTCGACTCCTCTTCCCCTGTTTTCCCCTCGATTCGGGATCTCCCTCTCGGATCCCACCCGGTTCACTTGCCCGCTGGACATTTTGTCCGTCAATCCCGTCCCTAGAGATCGATTGGGGGCATTTCTGAATCTGGGTTCTGGTCCAAATCCGTCACTGTCTGGGTAATTAGTATACTACTTGTTCTTCCTTTTATACCTCTGATTCAAGAGAAGCAGAACAAAAGAAGTTCCAAACAAAGGGGACTTCCCCAATTTCTCCATCATCAAGCCACTGGAACCTGTGGAGGTAAGCACCCGTCTGGCTATTCACAACTTCCGGGGTCAACACCTTGTTCTTCGGGTGCCCGCAGTTGTAGAGAACCATGGAGGACCAGTTCTTCCTCGGGTAAACTGTATGGACGGCGCCATCCATCTTTGTGGTTTCCTTTGGGGTGTAGTCATGGTGGACGCACATGATGGCGTACTTATCGTCGGCCAGATCGCGGAGCTCCTTGATGTCGGCCAGGTAGAGGAAATCGCAGTCGACGAACCTTTTTTTTTTGTCCGCATTATAATAATTTTTTTTATTTTACTTTATTGTGAAAATGAGTTGGAAATGATAGAATATTAAAATTTATTTTATTTATTATTTTTTAATTGTCACGTCATCGAGTTAACGGTCAACTTTGAGGGTTGACTGCCACATCAGACATATTTAACGGAGTTGGACGGAGAGTGACCAAACTTGAACCATTTAACTAATTTGAGTGACCAAGATTGGATTTAAATATTTTCAGTGACCAAACATGAACGTTTTTTGTAATCTCAGTGACCAACCATGCAATTAACCCTACAAAATAATTACAACATTTTAATTTTCCACTTTTAATAAAATATATGTTTGAATGAATAATAAAGGAGTAAATGTCACATTTATCACTAAGATTACTAAATCATGCCATGTTTAGTCACAAGAAAATTTTAATATCAATTTTGGTCACTTGAATTACTGAAATAGGTCACATTTAGTCACTATCCCGTTACCCTTCGTCCAACTCCAGTTACTCGAATTACTGAAATATGTCACATTTAGTCACTCTCCCGTTAGTTCCCGTCCAACTCCAACTCCATTAATGGAGTTGGACGGAAACTAATGGAGTTGGAGTTGGACGGGAACTAACGGGAGAGTGGCTAAATATGACTTGTTCCAATAATTCGAGTGACCAAAATTGAAAATAGTTAATTTCTTGGGTTAATACCTTATTTTGGCTCGAACTATGACCATATAATCAACTTTGGCCCGTGGTTTCAGAAATTAACATTCTAACCTCAACTATGTAGCATAAAGACTCAATTGGCCCGGCACACGGTTTGACCGTCAATTTGGACGGTCAACACAGTTGACCTTTAGTCGACACACCATGTTATTGCCTTGTCGGCCTAAAAATCATTAAAAAATTCAAATTATTTATCTAATTTCTATTATTTATCATTTTCAAATTAACCAAAAAAATTTAAAAAAATTTGATAATTTTTGGTTAATTTATAAAATGTATCATTTTCAAATTACCCAAAAAATAAAAAATATAAATATTTTTAATTTTTATAATTTTAGTTTTTTGGTTAATTTGGTAATGATAAATAATAGAAATTAAGAAAATAATTTGAATTTGATTTTTTAAATGATTTTTAGGCTGACAAGTCAATGACATGACGTGTTGGCCGTCCAAATTAACGGTCAAACCATGTGTCGGGCCAATTGAGTCTATATATTGCATAGTTGAGGCCATGATGTTAATTTCTAAAACCACGGGCCAAAGTTGATTATATGGTCATAATTGAGGCCAAAATAAGGTATTAACCCTAATTTCTTTTGATAACTTTTGTAATAAAACGGTGATTGTACAAAATTTTAGCCCAAAAAATGTGTTTATTAATACTTATGAAAGTTTTATCTAAAAATGATTGGTTAAATTACACGTTTGGTCACTCAAATTATTTGAATATTTCACGTTTGCCACCCGAATCACTTTTCATTCTTATTCGCCACTAACTTTATGAATCGTTTCATCGTTAGTCACCGACCGTCTAACTCGGTTAAAATCATCCTATGTGGCAGTCAATTAAGCCCATTGACTGTTAGTTTGATGATGTGGCAATTAAAAAATAATAAATTAATATGAATTAATTTTTCAATTTAAAAATACTTTCTCTTCCTTCCCTTTCCATCACCGTTAGAGTGTATCTTCTCCGTCCATCACCACTAGACATTATTTGATTTATTTCACAGCACAAATTCCCGACGTGCTAGCGGAATCCAAAGAGTCCCCGCCAGAGAAATCCATTCCCGAAACTCTTCCTGTTCTCCACTCATCATTTCTTCTCTTCCGACCCTATTGCCACCGATCGTATCTCCTCCACCTTCGATATTTCTTCTCTCACGCGCTTACCGCCTTCTCCGATCCCGCCATTTGATTGGACTCCGAGCTTCCAGCAATCTGAATATGACCAGGGAAGGAGAAATTGAGCTTGGCTTGCGGCCCCCTTAACTCGATCGCCTCTCTATCGTAAGCTCGTGTCGCGTCCTCTGCGGTGTCAAATGTCCCCAGCCACTCCCTTGTAGCCCGCCGCAGTTACTCAAACCTGGCGGATAGGAGCTGCTCCGAAACCGGCACCGGCGCTGCTAAATTGAATGGGAATCGGAGCAATTCGTGAGCACAAGCTGAATTGGTGGTGCCGGAGACCACGTTGCTAAGTGCGACGACCATGACGGCGAGCTCTTCCTCCTGGGTGAGGCGAGACGGGGGAGGCGGTTGTGACTGAGAAGTAGTTCGCCGGTGTCGAATAGTTGGCTCTCGGCCCGAGAGAACCCATTCATGAAATTACGAACACTCTAAACCTTCTCGGAGCATATGACCTCATAATCATCCACGAAGAACTCAATCAACACCTCACACAAGGTCCTCAATTCCTCTACCGCACTTTCCCCATTTATGGCGTTCTGCTCCCACGCCACAATCCGAATCTTGGATCTGTTTCTAATATCCAGCCACATCTCGTCGCAGTAAGCACCGAAGCATCTGGCCACTCTCAATTTCGTCAATTTCGCGTAGCAGATCTGCGAGTCCGCGGAGGGGGAGAGGAAAGGAAGAGAGAGTATTTTTAAATTGAAAATAATAAATATGTATTTATTATTTTTAATTTCATCAAACTAACTGTCAAAGAGTTTAGTTGACTGCCACGTAGGATGATTTTAACGGAGTTGGACGGCCAATGACTAACGGTGAAACGATTCTTAAAGTTAGTGGCGAATAAGAAAGAAAAGTGATTCGGGTGGCAAACGTGAAAGATTTGTATAATTTGAGTAACCAAATGTGTAATTTAGCCAAAAATGGTTGTATAGAAGTGTTTATGGGAGAAGCCAAAATTAAACTTTTCATGCGGATAGAGCCACTCAATTATAAGAATTTATTTGTAATTTTACAAACAACAATAATAAGCAATAACATCCATAATGTATTGAAAAAATGTTATATGATATGAACGTGGAAAAAAGTAATAGGAAATAAATACTTGGGTCACCAATCCAACATTCTAATTGATTTTCAGCCCATAGAAGAATGGGCCAATACTTGTGCCACCAGATTGAATGACCAGAGAAGTGGGACCAAGGCCGAAGCGTGTACCCGTCATTCATGTAACAACAATCGATCGACTTCCTTCTGACTTCTAATCTTATCTTAGATTCTCAATAGTTCTACTTTATCTTCCCCGGGTTCTCCAGCGATTCCTTCTAATCCTATCTCTTCATTCTCACCAATCTGAGAATCCATAGCAAAAAAAAAAATTACAAACGTGAGCTTCCTTTTGGGAGTTTTTTCCAATAATAGCACCCTAAAAAAAAATTACAAAACTAGCACACATATGAAAAAATTGACAGAAATAGCACCTATTTCTATGGAACGCACCTCCATGATGCGTTTTATAAGTAAACCGCACTTGAAGGATGCGTTTTACTAATAAACCGCATCCTGGAGGTGCGGTCTCCATGAGGAAACGCACGCAAACGGAGGGATCCGCGCCAGCTGCGGAACGGTCTTTAAAACCGTTGGATGGAAAGGCGATCTTAGGGTGGACCGCCTGCCAGCGGTGCGATCCGTGCCAAGGATCCCAGACCGCGCGCCCGAGATGCGGTCAAGCCTAGGGAAGCGCTAACCGCATCGGGAGGCAGCGGTTTCCCTTAGTGCAAAATTACCAGACCGCCCCTTGGGGGTGCGGTCTGATGGGTATAAATACCCCCCTCCCCCTCTCATTTCTTCACACCACAACTCATTCTTCCTTCTCTCTCTACAATTTATCTCTCTAAACCCTCCCCTCCCCTCCCAAAAGCCTAGGAAATAGTGGTCTGTTGGTTGCGGCTAAGTCCGATCTGCCATCGGAAAATATTTCTTAGGTTTTTTCCTCAAAACCCTCCGAGTCGAGCCGAAGCTCTGTCCGAATTACGCCGAAAAAATGGC